GTTTCAAATATTGAAGTACAAAGAGATGATATTTGTTGTACCAGCGCTCTGATTCAGCTGTAAAGAACAAATTAAGGAAACTTGACGTTATAAATTGTTTTAACTATGAAAACAATAGAAAAAAGTTGAGTGTTAAAAATTTTATTAAACTACTTGGAACAGTAAATCTCTATTAAGAATTTAATTACACAATACGATTGGTTATATAAATTAATTTGTCTCCTTATTGAAGAGGAAGTAACATTTATGTTATTAAAACTAGAACCGGAAGATAAAAGATCTTTGCATTATTCAGGGCAGTTCAATATAAACAGTAAAAGTCAGTGTTCAAAGAAAAACTTCGTTTCAAACTGAAGAATATTGTAGTTAAATTAGTTTCCTTTCGATCAACCACGTTGAAAGTCGATTTAACTAATGGAATCAGTGAAGTGATAAACATTTTATCCTACGCTTGAGAGACATTTTAAAAAAGAGTGGGTTTACAAAACAATACACATATCCACTCGAGTTTATTTCAACGTTATAAAACACATGGCTACACTGCTCTATACATGAGTCTCACGACCAGTCTTTCCACAGATCAATATCGCTGTCTCTTCATGTACTTAAGTTTTCCATATACACTAATCTGTTTTCTAATCATTGATGGAGATTATAATCAGGAAATATGTTATGAACCCTTCCCAGTTATAAAATATTCATATTTACAAAGCTCGTGTTATTCCTGTTCAAACTAGGCTTATACAGAAAGCCTTTAACCATGACCAAAGCAGTCATTGATTCGAAAGTTAAACAAATATTTCTGCAACTAGATAGTGGTGTGAAACGTTCTTGCAAATACAAATTCATGGCAAAAGGTATGTATTTGAGAATTGAGAATTTGTCGTTTTATGTGAGTCATATACAAAGATATTTGGTAATGCAATCTAAGACAGAGTGGTGTGAAGTAACAGAAACATAATCTTTGGTGCAAATAAATATCATTTGGAACGTCTAGCTGCAGAAACAGCTGTCGCAGATTTACCAAAAGAAAACTTTCCCTAACGGTTATTTTTTTAATATCACATCATCTCTTACTATTTAAACCTTCACTAAGATCCTAGGTTTCGTGGTGTAAGCTTTTGACCTATTTCAAGAGAAGCAGTCATAGCATATATATGTATAAACGTTTTTCTAAAACACTGCCTAAACACTTAGAGAAGTCATAACTTTTTTATTGGAAATGACAATCCACTGTACTATATATTTTGGGTTTTGGTTTAGTATCATGAGGCTTTATTTTTGTGCTCTATTTCTAGATTATGAATAATATCCTTATTAGCTTAAACAATACACTGAATGATATTTTTGGTTTTGATTTAGTACCACGAAACTCTATTGTTATGCTTTATTTATTAGATTGTGAATAACATCTTTATTAGCTGATATTTTTGGTTTTGATTTAGTATCACGAAATTCTATTGTTGTGCTTAATTTCTTAGATTGTGAATAACATCCTTATTAGCTTAAACAATGCACTGAATGATATTTTGGGTTTTGGTTTAGTATCATAAGACTCTATTGTTGTGTTCTATTTCTTGAATTGTGAATAACATCTTTATTAGTTTAAACAATGCACTGAATGATATTTTGGGTTTTGGTTTAGTATCATAAGACTCTATTGTTGTGCTCTATTTCTTAGATTGTGAATAACATCCTTATTAGCTTAAACAATACACTGAATGATATTTTGGGTTTTGGTTTAGTATCATAAGACTCTATTGTTGTGTTCTATTTCTTGAATTGTGAATAACATCTTTATTAGCTTAAACAATGCACTGAATGATATTTTGGGTTTTGATTTAGTACCACGAAACTCTATTGTTGTGCTCTATTTCTTAGATTGTGAATAACATCCTTATTAGCTTAAACAATACACTGAATGATATTTCGAGCTTAAATATTAATATCATGAGATTCTATGGCGTTCTTCGTTCTAGATTATGAAGACAAGCAATTAAAGCTAAAATAAATTAAGTGAATTAATAACAAATATAGGAATATATGTATAAACCACATATTCTAGTACAATGAAAATGGCAAATTACTAATATTAAAATTACGAAGAACTTTCACTGTAATCCAACTTACCATATCAACTAAATAAGTTTTACACTCTAGGTTTGAGACGCACACAGCAATGCTATTTTGTTTCTGCTGTTTTATTTTCTCTGTGATAATGTAGCAAGTACTGTGAGAAAACCATTTATAAAAATAACTTTACAGTATTAATATTTTAAACGTGAACGGTTAAACGGTCATGGTCAAAGACCCCTTGTACTCACGCATATCCATTTTATTTTAGAACTACTGGCCAAAGAGAGGACAACCAGCTAGCAGCACCGGCCGCAAGTGCGACTACTCTTAACCTAATAGCGGGAACAATTGTTTTTGTTTGCTTGTTTATTGTTAAGTACAAAACTACAAAATGGGCTCTCTGTACTCTGCCCACCAAGTGTATCGAAACCCGGTTTCTAGCATTGTAAGTCCGCAGACATACTGTTGTGCCACTGGTGGAAGCAATGATTGTCACTTTTTTATAATATCCCCATAGTTTAATGGGCGGGGCAGTTCAGTGGCTTATCGTGGATCTTACCTCAGACCTATCGATCAGCAGAGTGGTGCGCTAACCGTTAAGCCACGCCCGGATCCAAAGAAAGTTGGCATACAGATAAAAATATATAACTAGATATTTTATTATCATGAAACCGAATACTTCAAAGCATTTCCTATCAAATTGAGATTTTCTGGTTTCAAGTTAAAAACCCTCCTTAGTTATCTTGATCCAGGTTGAACAAAAAGTTGGGATTTTCAGTTTCATGTTATAAAACCCTCCTCAGTTATCTTGATCGAGATTGTACAGAAAGTTGAGATTTTCTGGTTTCAACTTATAAAACCTTAGTTATTTTGTTTTTGTATTATAAAAGCTGCTCAGTCTGGTTGGTTCCTCTTTGAAGCTATAAAACATGAAATATATCGATATAACCTACAGGTTATGCACTGCGTGATTACAACCCTATGTGATTCACTAACCTAATAGATCCTCTATAAACTTAATCCACGTGATTATAAACCAATAGCGTAATATATCTTGTGTAATCTCAACCAATGTGATTAAATATCACTAGCATAATAGACTATGTGTAATATCAACACATGTGACTAAATACCAATAATATATCCAATAATAAGGAAGCTTTAGGTAGGATTGGTTCTGAATTGACCTATAACATAAAACATAATATGTTACGCTAATTTATGTACTTTTACGCTGATGACAACGAACAAGTTTGTGTGGTAGAAACGCAGATAATATAAACAAGTTCGTTTTGTAGTGACGTCAATAACTCCGAACAAGTTCGTTTGGTAATGAGGCAAAACTATTTTATCCATGTTTTTGGCTATTAAAGGAAAAAGATTTGAATTCATATATCTTTATTACTTTTGAGGATTTTTTGGTTTCAATATATATACTCTAAATATGATAGAATTTGGTTTGTGTTAAATATTCGCACCTAGCTATACAAGATCCGGCTATACTAACCGTTCCTAATTTTGAATTGATAGACTATAGAGGAGGTAACTAACAACCAGCACCCATCGTTAACAGTAGGGATAATTTAATCGAATAGTGGGGTGCAATCACTCTTATAGCACCTATGGCCCCAATATAATGTAGCGCGATTTTACAGCAACGTGACACAAGCCATAGACCCTCGTATCCATAGACTGTCAAGTTAACCAATAGACCACGCCCGGCACATCTCACAGTACGGATTGAAGTATTAAACATTATTAAATATTACTTCAGTGAGTACGTCATGTTATGCTCTGTAGATGTGATCTTGTTACTGCGTATAAAATGACCAGGCACAATTAATTTCTGCTATGCGAAAAAAACAAACAATCTTTCATATCGCTTTTATAATGTAAAGCGTATTTATAACTTTAAACAACAATTATATATTTTTGCCTAAAGATGGCGTGGTAACTAAATAGGTTATATTATTTAACAGTTTAGTGTTTCTAAATAACATTGTTTAAAAATACCTGCAAAAGCCAAATAAGTTAGCCCCAACATTTTATCTTACAGTTTGCATGAAGTATTTACATTTTAAAACCAACTTTGTTGTTTTAAACAGTTTTGTCTTATAAGAGAGGACACTGCTACAATTTTATTTTATAATCAAACTATAAGTCACGGTGTTTGAATATCACATTTGAAGAATTGACTGAATTCAATCATAGTAACTTTATTTCCCAATCTTTTTCTTGAAACTTAATATCACAGTTCTTCTAATTATGTTTTTATATCCGATATATGGAAAATCATTTTAACAAAAGTGTGTTTTATGTGTATGGTGTTTGAATTAACTATAATTCGCTGCAGTGTGTGTGTGTGAATAATATCTAACATGATATTCTAATCATTTTTTATGAATTAGTCAGCAGGCAAGCTATTTAAGACAATATAGTGTTTTCTTTCATCATCAAAATTGTACATTTCGACAAGAAATTCCTATGAAACCCACCTTATTTGTTCTAACAAGTGACTCGAATGACAGGCTGAGCTTCGTGTTGCTTTTTTATCGAAATTTATAATTGTGTTGACAAGAGAAAAAAAAACATTAAAGTATTTTCAAGCTCTTCAGTTAAGTTAAAGGTCGTGAAAGGTTTCTAAGCCTGTATTTCTCCCTTCGATTGCTCTTAACCATTCCTGTCTTATTTATTCAACATTATCTTTTTTTTTCCCTCCACTGTGACTGCGCCATGCATATATGGATGCAACCTCTGACGGTGATGCATCCTGACAAACATTTTCACTTTCCTCGAGTTCCGCTGGTGTCGCTTCACATGTTGCCATGACAACGTACATTATTCCTCTGGTGATCCTCTGCAGCCACAGAGCTAAGGGCACCACCGAGTCCACAACTTATGTGTAGTGGTATTTACAGCTTCACTTATGTGAGCACCTATCACTTGGCTCTCATTAGGCGAATGGCAATACTGAACTGATATAAGGTCCAACTTCTGAGAGTATCGCCGGTTTTGAACGGAAAGGTTCATCCAAGTGAGGAGCAACAACAAACACTGTTGATTATATTCTGCCTGTTGTTTCATTTAGCATGTCTACTTAGAGAGTGTGTTACGTAATGCCAGCGGTGTTCTGTACTCAGGTGTCTAGTAATGGTAAGTTGTATGAATTGTTTGAATTTTCTGTACAGTATTATGTTGCTTAAACGTTTTTAGCACTTGTCTTTTGCTGGTCAATAAGAATGATTGAAAATGAATCTTCTTAAGGGTTTTTTGGTACTTTAAATATGATCAATCTATTGGATTAGGTTAAAAGGAGTAAAATACACGATATTCAGTTTGTTATCAAAATTTTCGCGTACAGCTGCACAACGACTATCTGACTATAGCCTTCTCTAATTTAGAACTAACAGGCTAAAGGAAGGCAGCACCCACCATCAACAGATGGAATTCTCTTATGTGAACGAGTAATGGGATTTGACCGTCATTCTTATCGTGCACCCATGGCCCCAAAATAAGCTTTGAACTCTAAGATTCTCAGTCCGGTCACGCTAACCATTAGGCCACGCCAGGTCCCACGATTTTTAAGATTGAGAAGGAAAAGTACTACTATTTAAACGTGGCATTACTTACCCACCAATGTACTCAAGTAAAAGAAACATGAATAATTATTGGTTTTCATAAGTCAGATAAATAAGCAAACTGCAGTTCCTAATTTTTAATTTATGACTCAAGTTCACATCCATTAGTTATAAGCTAACTAAATACATATCCACTGTATATAACAAAGTGTTTAAATACGTAGATAAGTAGATAGGTAAGTAAAGAGACAGATAGGAATCTACGTGGGTACTTATAAACTGTAGAGAATTATTTAATCTGTACGTGTGCTTATAAACTGAAATTTTACGAACACTTTTAATCAAAGGTGAGATATTAAATGTGTATAGGTACTTATACGGCGTAGTCAGATATTGAATATGTAAAGATACTTATAAGACAGAGTGAAATATTGACTAGGTGCTGAAACCTTTATGCTGAACTGACTTTCATTCTATAAAGGTGCCTATAACAAAATAATGAAGTAGACAGACAATTTTGTATTTCCAATCCCACCTTCGAATAATTTGCAGTTATATAGATCAGTGATTATCATCAGCCTAATCAATCTGACTAAACATGAATGTGTTATCTAATGACGAGCACCCCCCCCCATGGAGAACCTACAGCAAAAAAAAATGACACATAAAAAACGGGTTTCGATACTCGTTGGGCACAGAACAGATGGCCCATTATGTAGCGCTTTTTGCTTAACAATAAACCCAACGATGACCTATACTATGGGTTGAATCGCTGTAATAATTTACATAAGAATTTTCATACTCTAAAAGTTGCTGTTGTCATATTTTCATCTTAGCCTTAATTCACAAGTGTTGGTGTAGAAATCAAACTAAGTTTTAGCTGAAAGTGTAGTGAGAAAATTGTATTTTAGTTTAAAGGTGATAGTGTGTAGATGAAACTAAATTTTAGTTTACAAGTCTTAGTGTCGAAGTTGTGTTTTAGTTTGAAGGTGTTGGCAAGGAAATCAAACTGAGATTTAATTTACAGGTGTTAATGTAAAATTAAACTGAAATTAGTTCACAAATATTAGTGTAGAAAGTTTGTTATAATTTACAGGTATTAGGTATGAGTTTAGTTTACAGTTGTTAATGGGAATATTGCGTTTTAGTTTACAAGTATAAGTGTAGAAATGAAACTAAATTTCACTTTACAGTTGTTGATGTGGAAGTTAACCTTAGTATTAGTTTACTGGTGCTATTTTGAAATTAAAGCTGAATTTCATTTTTAGACGCTATTATGGAAGTTGTGTTTTTTGTTTTCAGGTGTTAATGTGAAAGTAAATTGAGTTTTACTTTACAAGAGTTAGCGTGAAAGACGTTTTTTGGTTTACACGTTTAAGAGGGAAAATATAGTTTAGTCTAGAAGTGTTACCGTAGATATAAAACTAAGTTCAGTGTACATGAATTGTTGTGGACGTTGTGTTATATTTTACACTTGTTATATTTTGAACATTGTATTTTAGTTTATTGGTGTTAGAGGGGAAGTTAAACTACGATTAGTTTACAGGTGCTATTGTGGGAGTTAAGATTATGTTTAGGGATGATAATATGTAAATACAACTGAATTTAGTTTGCATGTGTTATATTTGTAATAAAACTCAGTTATTTTTATAAGTGTTAATTTAGAAGTTGTGTTTTAGTTTACAGGTACTATTGTGGAAATTGTATTTTTATTTACAGATGTTAGTGTGGAAATGAAATAAGTTTAGTTTACAGATGCTACTGTGGAAGACTTATTTAACAGTTGTTGGTATGCAAATAAAATAAGTTTAGTTTACAGGTGCTATTGTGGATAACTTATTTAACAGTTGTTGGTATGCAAATAAAATTGATTTCAATTTACAATTGTTAATGTGAAAGTTATGTTCTTAGTTTCGAGATTTCAGTGTGCAAATGAAACAGTTTACACCACAGGTTTTAGCGTGGAAATTCTATTTCAATTTGAAGGTTTTAGTATGGAAATAGTATTTTAGTTTACAAATTTTAGTTAACAGATGTTAGTGTGGAAATTAAACTAAGTTACGTTTGTAAGTTTTAGCGTGGAAGTGAAACTGAGTTTTAATTTAATTTTGAAGACAATGGACCCAGTTGGATTAGTTTCTAGGTATTGTGGTTAAAATTGGGTTTTATTGTACAGGTCTTTTTATTGAAATTAAACTGAGTTTTAGTTTACAAAGATTAGTGCGGAAATGAAACTGAACTTCTTTTACAGGTTTAAAAATATTCGTTTATAAGTGTTAGTGTAGAATGGAAGTCATGTTTTATATTGCAGATGTTATTTTTGAAATCAACTTGCAATTAGTTTACAGCTATTACTGTGGAAGTTGAATTTTAGTTTACATGTGTTATTATGCAAATGAAACTGTGTTTAATTTATAGATTTTTGTGTAGAAATTATACTACTTTTATTTTATAGGTATTAGTATGGAAGTTGCATTTTACTTTACAATGAACCTAGTTTTTAGTTTACGAGTGTTAGTGTAGAAGTGAAACTGTGTTTAGTTTAAACATATTTCTATGGAAATTTTGTTTCACTTTACATATATTAGCGTGAAAATTGTGATTTAGCTAACAGGTTAGTGTTGAAATTTAACTGCGATTGGTTTCCAGGTGTTATGATGGAAAACGGGGTTTATTGTACGGGGTTTGCTGAAATTAAACTGAGCTTTAGTTTACAAAGATCAATGTAGAAATGAAATTTAACTTTCTTTACAGGTTTAAAGGTTATCGTGTGGTGTAAAAATTGTGATTTAATTTATATGTATTAGTTTCATTTATAGACAATAGTGTGAAAATTGTATTTTAATTTACAGGTGTTATTATGCAAATGAAAATGTGTTTAGTTTGCATTAATTTGTGTGTAAATTAAAATGAACTTTGTTTACAGGTGTTAGTGTGGAAATAAACCTATATTTATTTTATAGGTGTTTGTGTGGATATCAAACTGTGTTAGTGTAAAAAGTTTGTTTCAGTTTCCAGGTGTTAGTGTGGAAATAAACCTATATTTATTTTATAGGTGTTTGTGTGGATATCAAACTGTGTTAGTGTAAAAAGTTTGTTTCAGTTTCCAGGTAATAGTGTGGAAATTTTGTTTGAGTTTACAGGTATTGGTGTGGAAATAAAACTAAGTTTAATTTATAAGTTTTAGTGTGGAAATGAAGCTAAGTTTTAATTTCAATTTGAAGAAAATGAACCCACTTTGATACAAATAAAGTATAGAGAAGACTTGAATGTGTAATGAAAATAAATATTTCTTTTTTTACCATGTGAAACCTGTTATAAAGTTTTTTTCATTACTCATTCAATATCTCACCAAACTTAGTTTTTGTTTTCAGATGTTTGTGGTGAACTTACGTTGAACTATAGTTTACAAATGTTAGTGTGGAAATTAAACCACCTTTAGTTTACTGGTGTACTGCGGAAGTTATATTTCAGTTTACAGGAGCTTTCGTGGCAACTGAAGTTTGTGTAATTTACAGGTGTTCGTATATAAATGAAACAGTTTCAGTCTATAGGCGTTTGTATGGAATTTAAACTCATTTTAATTTACAAGAGTTAGTGTGGAAAGTTTAATTTACATGTGTTAGCGTGGAATTTGTGTTTTAGTTTACAGGGATTTGTATGGAATTTAAACTAAAATTTGATTTACAGGTGTTAGTGTTAAAATTAAATTGTGTTTTAGTTTAGATGTGTTAGTGTTAAAGTTAAATTGCGTTTTATTTTACATGTGTAAGTATGGAAGTAGAGTTGTGTCTTAACTTATAGGTTTTAACGCGGAATATAAAATGTTATTTTAGTTTACAGGTTTTAGTGTAGAAATTAAATTGAATTTTGCCTTTAGGTTTATTCTTAATAAAGTTGCTAAGTAACAATTTACAAGTTTAGTGTTATTAGTTAACTTTATTCTGAACATTAATAATTCAATTTTAAACAGGCTAAGTTATATTTAAATTGAGAAAACCTTTCAATAAAAACTTTTTACGTGTAGTCTAGCTTTGTTAGCGTCTCAACTCAAGGCTTGGTTAAAACGATGTTTAAACTTCTTTATATATCTAATGTATGTACATTATTTATTTGAGCAAAATGTTTCATTATTTATATCTGTCAATTTTGCCAGTAAAGACAAGCAAACACAACATTTTAAAAGTTTTAAACGCGAAGGTATGAATTGTGTTTCCAGTCACTTTACTATTGCCAGATCTTTCTCAGTATTGTAACATGAAAGGTATTGAAAACGACAACTAACAGAAACAATTCAATTGATGTGGATGGTGTTGGATTCTTGAGCAATTGAAGTCAAGGCCTGTTGTCCTTCTCGACTATGATAAGCTACTTAAAATGCTGTTTTGACTCCTGTTACTTGTAAAGACTTGAGGCTTTCCAATGAGGGAGAATATATATGTATATATATATAAAGATTTTTCTCTGAAAAAGTAGAAAGTCTAAGAAAAGAAAAGAACACTACAACTTGATTTTAGAATTTTAATACAGGTGTGAAGCTGTTTCAAAACTCCACAATATGTTTTGTCTGGTGTA